CACACACACACACACAACACCCACCCACCCACACACACACACCCACACACCCACACACACACACACACACACACACACACATCGTCTTTCACACCACAGCGAAGCTAACACATCTTGGCTGACAAGGAACTCAGCAGCTCCATTTCTATCTTTGCTGCAAAGCCTTCCCAAGGGTGCGATCACTGTCACGTTGCCAACCCCGAGCCACCTTTCCGCAGCACCCAAAGTTCACTCTGTTCTTCCTGTGGACGCCGCGGACTACGACCTGGGGTATAGCAGCACTCGCTGAAAGGTGCAATTACGGCATGATCCGCACCAACCCATTCTTCTGATTACTTTTTGCCTCTTCTTTTTCGTCCAACAACTTCCTTGCACCCCCTCCACCACTCCCTCTTTCCACCCCCTCTTCATTTCCTCTGCCTACTGCAAACTCGGCGGCTTCCTTGCACCCCCTCTTTCCATCCCCTCTTCATTTCCTGGGTAACATTCCTCCAACTTCGTTACTCGGCCTCCTCGGCCTCCTCGGCCTCCTGCTTGTTTCAATCTCCCCACATTCCTCCCCCCCTCGTCTAAGAGCAGGGCAGTGTTTACTCGGTGAAAAATAGAAGATAGACGCACACTTATCGCCTTCCTCCCGTCCCCTTCCCCGTCCTTTCCTGTCTACGAGTTTCTTCAACTTTCTTTTCATCCGGTCTTATATCCCTCCCCCTTCGAGCTTGCCATTGCCTCGACAGCTAGTTGTCAAATGATTCCCTTCGAAGAGGGGAAGAGAGCTCTGGGCAAGGCCCCGTGCGTGGGTGCTAGGTTCATGCTTGGGAAGTATGAACGTGGCCGTAATGGCAGCCAGGATCCTATTTCCCTAGCATGAACCCAGCACCCGTGGGACCTCCCCCTCGCTCGCTCGCCTTGCACTTCCCCTTCCTCTCACAGGCGCCTTGCTTTGCATCTCCACCTCGCCTAGCTGGAACCCAGCACCGGTGGGACCTGGCCTTCACATCACTCATCGTCCTGTCACCCTCTCTACAGCGTACCGGTTCCTTAGATGAGCGGCTCATCCCTTGGCACCACATAATAGCTCATTCGCTCAGACTAGAAGTTTTTGAACTGTAGAGTTTCTCCGATGCTTCTTGGTGATTAGGAGTCGCCACTCTTCAAGCAGGTTGTCGCATCAAGCGCTCCAATGGATGTTCGCACCTATGAGCTGCTTTCCTGGCCTTCGGGCTGTAAAGGACGACTTTCTCCGAACGTCTCTGTGAAGTCTATATGAAGTCTCCTGGTGATTGGCTGCACAGGCAGCCACTCTCCGAGCAGCTTGTCCCATAAAGAGACCTCTGATCAACACAGGGGGGACAAAAGGACTGCTTTCCTGGCCTTCCGGCTCGCTCCCCCTCCAATGAAGAGTGGTGATTGCCGATATATCCCAACTTGCCGTTGTCGAACAAGGTGGCAAGGCACAGAAACTACCTTTCCGGCTCTACGTTCGAATACAGCCACTCTCCGAGCAGCTTGTCCCATAAAGAGACCTCTGATCAACACAGGGGGGACAAAAGGACTGCTTTCCTGGCCTTCCGGCTCGCTCCCCCTCCAATGAAGAGTGGTGATTGCCGATATATCCCAACTTGCCGTTGTCGAACAAGGTGGCAAGGCACAGAAACTACCTTTCCGGCTCTACGTTCGAATACAGCCACTCTCCGAGCAGCTTGTCCCATAAAGAGACCTCTGATCAACACAGGGGGGACAAAAGGACTGCTTTCCTGGCCTTCCGGCTCGCTCCCCCTCCAATGAAGCTGTCTCTTATACACATCTAGATGTGTATAAGAGACAGCCACTGGACCCTGCAGAAGACCATCGCAATACGATCTGTTATTGCGGATGTGGCGGGCCGGAAGGCCARCAAACAGTTCTTGTTGCTCTCACGCATCCTCTCACCATGAGCTTCACTGACAGTTTTTCAGTGCAGAAGACCATCGCAGTACGATCTGTTATTGCGGATGTGGCGGGCCGGAAGGCCAACAAACAGTTCTTGTTGCTCTCACGCATCCCCTCTCACCATGAGCTTCACTGACAGATTTTCAGTGTACGCCCCCCCACCTGCTCATTCACTCTAATCCATGTGTAGGGTTCTTGTTGCTCTCACGAATACCATAGTTTCTTCCACCCCCAGCAAACAGTTCAGGAATCTGTTTTTTTTCGCCCGGCGGCTACTGCGGCGGAATTGAAAACACATCACATTAGTGTTCGATAAACAAACAAACCATCCGTTCTCGATTCAAGACTAGACCCCTAAACGCTTGAAAAAGAAAAAGAAAAACAAAAAACAAACAAACAAACGGTCCTCGTCGCATTGGCACTTGCCAACCGGCCGGGCAGCCAGCTGGATATACACCTTCACACACCTTATCAGTAGTCCGGTTGCCGAGAATTTCAAACCCAGAAGGTGTATCTGATGGGTTAGGCTCAATGGAGACTGACGCTCAAGAAAAGAAGTGTGAAAAGCGCAGAATTTCAAACCATCCAATCCCGTCAGAACGACCTAACCCATGCGAGGATGAAACAGACAGCACGCAGATCATTAAACGCCACGTGCTTTTGAAAAAGGACCTAAAACAACAAAAGGACTTGCAAGTTGCAACAACCACAGCCTGTCTGTATCTCATATCCACAAAAGTTAGTCTGTGCAAATATTCTGAAGTGTGAGCACCTTTGCACAACAACAACAACTTTTGAAGTCTTTTCAGAAACAGAAAAGTGCAGCGCTGGCCTCGCATTGCCTGCTCATAGCTCTTTGTGCTACTTTACAACAACAACAAAAAAAAAAAAAAAAAAAAAAAAAACATCACGGAACCAACTCCACTTCATGCAGAGGTGATCATGAATATGGCAAATTGCCGAATTGCCACCGATTTGAGCATGGGATCGCACGGCATGTGGTCATGTCAAAGGCATTCATCATAACCGACAAATGCAATCACGGTCCCCTTTTCCAGCCGTCGCACACCACAACTAGGTCACTACCTCTCCCTAGTCGTATAAATGGCGTAACGCATTACACCATAAATTCTATAACCCTTTGCACTCTGAGGCGCAGTAGAGTAGAGAGGCAAGATTAGCTAAAGACCTAGAGAGCTGCAGAGAGTCGTAACAGTGGATGATAGGTCGGGAACTGGAAGGGAGCACGTAATCACCTGAAGCACAGCACATACACGTGCCAACCTGCCACTCCTCATTTTGGGCCTCACTCCACTGCTCACCACATGCGCAAAAGACAAAAAAAAATGACGACATATCTCTTTCCCTCATGTTCTAGCGGAAGATTCATTCTCATTTGGCACATTTGGCGAGTTGTAGAGCGAGGCTCTTTCTATTCCTACCTGCACATACCTCGCCCACTGGATCGGATCCGACTTCACAAAACAAAGACCCAGGTTCCACTGGCACCTTCGCTCACTGGACCGGCTTCCCAGAAGCTGACAGAATAGTTGTTGACTTCATCATTGACCCTACTCAGGATGTGCTCACACCAGCACGATGTTGCAGAATGTGTCCATTTGGTCAGGTACATCCATGATGGTGTGGAGCATTCATGCCCTTATTAGCTGACGACGCAGGCAACCTTTGACGGACGAGGACTGCCAGACTGCAGGGACACAACCGGGCCAGTCCGGCCGTGCGAGCACCTTGTCCCTACCCCCCCCTCCCCCTTCCCCCCTTCCGCCCCTTCCCGCCCACCCTCGCTGGTGTCCGCTTGCAGGATAAACAAACACAAGAGGAGCCTTGAGAGGTGAGCTCGACGACAAGCATAACCCTTTCGCTGTGGACGATGAACATCCCTTCTATACATCACGAGTTCAAAACCCACCTCCTTCCCTTGCGAACGTGATCGATGTAATCACATTTTTTATCTCATTCTCCGTCCCCCATTCTCGTTCTGAAAATCAACTTACGGTTTGTCACCGTTCCCTCCCCCCCCCCCCCTTAAAGGTTGTGAGGGGTGTCGAGGATGGCGCGAGGAGAGGATGTCCTCTAGGAGGCTGGACGCACCAAGTTCAGCCTCCCGTCGCCTGCGCGCACAACAGAGAACGCTCCACCACAGGGCGAGCACACTGAAGCACAGAGCCCACAGCCCCGACCACAGCTGTAGACGCCTCTGCAGGTTTTCTGCTCTGCCTCTCCTTCAGTCCCTCCCTCCTCAATGCCCTGTCTGCTCTTTGAATATTCTCCAGCTTCTCCTTCCACCTGCAAATAAAATGACGCCAGCACCGATCAAAGGGTAGGAAAAACGGCCAGGCAATAATACGTTTCAAAAATGTTGGAAAAAGAAGCCGAAAACTCGAAAGCAAAAACCAAAAGCAAAGAAAGAAAAGAAACAGAAAACAGACCGACCGGCCCAGGTCAGTTGGTACACCCCTGAATTGTTGAAAAACAGACCTGAGTTCGAACTCCATTGGAAGCAGGATAAGTAACATAATTAAAAATACCTGATTTACCTAGGGCCGGTCAGCTCGACGATTATATTTCAACTTTCAAGGCTGTCGAATTTTGCAAAACGCTACCCCTCAGAATAAAAGGGGCATTAAACCACCACTACATTTCACAGGCAAACGCAAAGTACATATAGTAAGTAGCCTACTCCTTAAAACACAGGGCTAGGGGCAGGGTTGGACTCCTACAAAAAAAAGAAGGGAAAAAAAAAACAAAAAAACGAAAGTTTCAAATCCAGGGACGTCGGGGAAGGCCCTCACGAGGGTGGAAGTTGCAGAGGCTTTTGACGAATGTATCTGGCCACTTTGCGGGGAAAGAGTTTGCTTTTTTGTTTTGTTTTGCTTTTGTTCCGATGTCGTCTTAGTGCCCTGCCAGCCAGGCAGGGCGTATTTCACGGGTGGCACATAACTGTCTCAATGCTGGAGCATCCTGTATCCGCCCTCAATCACAGCATAAGGGAGCTTTTTTTTTTTTTTTTTTTTTTTTTCCTGTGTTTGTCCCCTACACGCCCTCATTGAGGGCACAGTCACACAAGCGACTCATAGAATGTACCTGGCAGTTATCGTGGCATTTGGGATGTTTTTTTTTTTTTCTTTTTCTTCTTTTTTTTTCCCCCTTGTTCCTTCTTGGCTGAAACTGGCCCGGCTCGGCAAAACTCGGTGCGCTTTGAAAGTCAGGCCTGTCTCTTATACACATCTAGATGTGTATAAGAGACAGCCCTCAATCACAGCATAAGGGAGCTTTTTTTTTTTTTTTTTTTTTTTTTCTTTTTGGTCCGTACACGCCCTCACTGAGGGCACAGTCACACTAGCACGTCATAGAATGTATCTGGTGGTTATCGAGAGATTCCTGTCTCTTATACACATCTAGATGTGTATAAGAGACAGCCTCAGATCCATGAATGTGCCAGTATCAAACAGCCTAAAGCGAGTTGATAGAAGTCCCCAAAATCCTAAAGCATTCTCTTTTTTTTTTTTTTGGAAGAAACATGGATAACTCTGACAGCAATTACTAAGTCAAAAGGAAAGCCACAGAAGTCCTTCAAATGCTCAGAACCCCCAGAATTCCTGACAAAACCCTCTAGGATTCTCTAACACTGTCTTTTCCCTGCCGAGCTCTCCCAGGCCTCACGCCCCCACCCTGCTAGGTTACAGAGCAACACGGCTCACCCCAGCTCCGGCCAGCGTCGTCCCGACAGCAACCCTAGGTTGTCCCTTAGAATGCCCACCCCAAAGCATCTCCAGATCTCTCTATCAGGCCTCACACTCCTGCTATCAACAGGTTACAGGGCTACGCCCCAGCACCGACCAGCGTTGTTCTGGCATCGAACCGCCGCAGATCTGTGAATATAACAGCATCAAAGAAGCCTACAGTGAGTGGCAAGAAGTCCCCAGAATCCTAAAGCATTCTCAAGACCACCAGAAGCAACCGAGAAAATCAAACTTACTAATGAAAAATGAGAACCGATTGGGATTATCTGGAAGCCGATATAACCGAAACCATGTTGCCCCAGTGCTATTCAACCGACCAGCCTACGGCTGCCTCAACCCTCATATCCTAGATAGCTGCCAGGCCTCACACCCCCAACCGCTGGGTTACAGGGCGGTGCGACCCACCCCAGCTCCGACCCGCGTCGTCCTAATACCAGCTCACGGTTAGCCACTGGACTGCCTTCCACCCTCGGCAGTTCCCCAGATCTCTCTACCAGGCCCCTAACCCCCACATAACTCAGGTTACAGGCCAGCGCAACCAAACCCCAGCTCCGGCCAGCGTCGTTCTGGCATCGGCCAACCCTAAACTCTTGGACATGATGGCGATAACCCACCGTCGGACGATCCGCTGAACACCACCGCCGCGACCAAGGTTTCGAAATGCCCGGCTCCCTTCGTGCACCGGTTGTGCTCGACACACCCAAACCACCTAAACACTCCCCCTATCCCCCCTCCGGCAAGACTTATCACAGCGGAGCCACCATCTCCGTTGCTGCTATGCCCTATTCCAGTCCTACCAACTAGCCCCCTCGCCAGCAGGACGCGTCATATCCCTCCAACTACTAACCCCACTTAATAGCCAAATGGCACTCACCCCTACCTATGTGACCCCAACATGAAGGGGTAAACTGGAGAGAAAAAAGCTTCACCACCCTAATCAAAATATGTCACACGCGACCGGTGCATCAACAAGATACTAGAATACCACTCTCAGGCAGGGCGAAATTCCAGTACTTCTGCGATGATGGAAATCGTTGAGTCGAAACTTCAGAAAAAACACATTCATCAATCAATATGAGCAGTGATGTACGGAAATCAACTTGAATTATTTACTCACGAGCTAGGAAGATTCTCACGCCCGGCCGGTCCTGCCCGGGCGTGACGCCCAGGGTACCCGGGC